GTAATTGCTCCATACTTCAACCAATTCTGATTGCAGCCTTGGAGTAAGAGCAGGGAATTTCGATTTAAACCATGTTGGTCCTCGAAGTTGGTCACTTATTTTTCCGAGATACACAGTGAAAGGGGCCAAATGTGAATCAAAATGAAATCGGGTTAACAAAAATCTGAGGTAGTTATGATAGGTAGTCTCGTCGGATTTATGGCGGGGATGTCGAGAAGATAATCGAGCACCCTCTAAATTTAAACCTGGGGGGATTTTGGAGGTTGGGGGGAGGATACTTTCAAAAATCAAGTTCAGCCATAACTGAATGAACCAAATAGGACCTGAAAAATTCCCCGAAGCTCTGGGGGTATTCAAAATTTCGACAGCTTCATCGAAGGCAGTGTAAACATGTGCCAATAATAATTTTGCCAGACAAATCCTTGGTTGGCCAGTGTGTAGGAGATAGGCAAGGTTATAAAGGTGGGATGAAATTTGGATGGATCGGGGGCAGAAAACATGAGTACATAACCAATACACCAGGAAGGCTATATGCTCCTCATCAGTTACAGCTATCGATGGATCATCGACGAAGTGCTTTTCGATAAAATGTCCATACGCCTTCGATTCCCAATCGATTTTTGACCTTAAAGAATTATCCGAAGGAAAAGCACCCTTAAAATATTTTTCCCTTAAGGGTTTTAGTCCGGTAATAGCAGCAATTTCAAAGAGGGTGGGTGAAAGGGGACCACAAGGTAGTTCCAATGCATGCAGGTCTTTATTCCAAAGGTGGACAGCTGATAAGAACATAGTCATATCTAAATAAGACAAATCACATCGAGACAGATGCAGGAAATCGAAGATCCCCACATCTCTCCAATGGTTCCCAAACTTGGTTTTTACTCGATCAAACCACCTAATATACAAGGGTTTTTTGTAGGGAAGGCCCGTTCGGTATACTTTAGATACAATGTTCAGAAAGTCAATTCGAACTTCAGATTGATGAATAGGAGCCTTGCTCTTTGAAGAAAGATTGAGGGAAGAAAAAGATCCGCCACAATAGCGAATAGGACCTCCAAAAGCGTAATTAACATTATCAGCAATGTAGGGAATGAGTACCTGCGTCTCAGCGATTTTCTAAGAAGCTTCCTCCATCAAAGGAACTGGAGCAAACTTCTGGCTATTAATCTCCAGTAGGTTAGCGGTCACCGAGGGGAGTGGTGGGGCGGAGAAGTCAGAGGATTTGGATGAGGTCACCATTTCAGTAGTCGATAGAGCAAACGAGGACGAAAGGTAGAAGACGAAGGTGCAAAGGAGGAGTGAATTAAGTTCGTAGTAAAAAACAAGGGTAAAAAGACTAACAAACGTTTAAAAGAAACCAACTAAGGTATTGGAAGCGACGGAGGCGAAGGGTAATTAATGTGGCGTGTGCAATGTGACAACAAAGTGATTTGATGTGACATAAAGCAAAGAAACCCTAGAAAAACCCCAGAAACCCTAAACCCTAAAAGTTATTTTGGGCCTCCAAAACGTTTGAAGGCGGGAATCATTTTTTGTAAGAATATAAAATAAAAGTTAATATTTATATTCTTCCAAGGGGGCATTTTGTTAGTAGGAAATCAATAAAGGGATCGAAAAACGAAGGTAAGAAAAATCGAGGATCATATGATTGGTTAAAAACTGATAAAATTGGTAAAAGACACCTGATAACCACAAAGATAAAAACACATCGAAAATCAAAATCGATAATCGAAGAAACAAATTTCGATGTCTATTGTTGAAGAGAATCGAGAGATTAGAATAGTGCAAAGTTAAGAATTAAAAGGAATCAAAAGCAAAATTCAAAATACTCGATGTCTGAAATTGAGATCAAGGGAACGGTTAACACATACAGGGGACACGGGAAACGGTTCTGAAACCGTGGCTCAGATCGAAGATCAAGGGAGCAGTTCTCTTATGCGTGAGAACGTGGAATGCAGTTTTTTACTGTAAGACTGAAGATACGTGCACGTAGGATCGTGGTGACGGTTTTATTAACCACTCTTAGGAGGTTACTTGAAGGATGCTCTATAAATAGAGCGAAGACTGGAAAAAGAGGGGGAAATTGGCAGAGAGAACTGAAACATTAGTGAAAAAGTCTACCGGAGAATGACGAAATCATGAAGTTTCTGGCGATCTGGATTTCCATTTTCATTGACTGCTTTTATCGCTTTCTTTACTTTCCCTGGTAATTTACTTTCATGCAACTTACGTTTATCAACTTTAAGTTTCTGCACTTTTAATTCCATGTTATTTTACTTTTATGTAAGTTGAGATTCTGCGTTTAAGTTCCTCATTATTTACACTTATGCAATTTTGATTTCCTGTTATTTACATTCCTGCAATTTTGATTTCTCGCTATTTACACTTATGCAATTTTGATTTCCTGTTATTTACATTCTTGCAATTTCGATTTCTCGCTATTTATACTTAATGCAAATTTGAGGTTTCCGTGTTTTTTACATTCCTGCAATTTAATATTCTCGACCGCTTTCGATTCAACAATTTTACTCGCTTCTTTACTTCGCGTTTCTTAATAAAAAATACCAAAAATAGTACTTTCGATTTGCACTTTAAATAATGTTGTTTGCATTCGTGAGATTTTCGATTCTCATGCATTTTTCGATTGAAAACCATTTGCTAGCTTCAAGTAAAAAGAATCTACATGGTCGAGATTTGATTAGGACTCAACTCCCCATATATCAAAATCAATCAAATTTTCACCGGAAACACTCACCCATTCGAATAAAAATTAATTTTGCATTTATATATATTGATTCGAAAATTTAATTGTCTACTTTGTCGTATGAACTTCAAATCTTTTAGATAAATTTTGTTTCATCGTTTGGTAATAGTTGATATTAAAAATTTATTCTTACTTTTTTAAAATTAATATTTACAATATTATTGCTTTTTCATTTGTGTCATAAATGAATGGCCCTTGCCCTGTGCGTATTGAAAGAAACAAATGTTACCTACCTACCAGAAAGCCAAGAAATAATTTAAGTATTACAGAAGCCTAACACAGAATTGAATATCAGTTAATACTATACCCTACAATCAACAACAAATGGTCAACATTCATATTTCTGAGGTCTTTGTCTCTGAAGTGGGGTATGACAGTATACATTATTGCTCCAAATCGAATACGCTAAAACAGAGAGGAATATTGTTATCTTTCTTTCCGATTCAAAAGATTAAGTGATTTAACTTTTGAAATTTAGAAGAGTTAGAACATATTTTCAAAGGACACTTTATATATATATATATATATATATATATATATATATATATATATGTGTGTGTGTGTGTGTGTGTAAGAACTTCTACAAATTAATTGGTGACAAAATTACTTTTTTTTTTTTTAGAAGTATTTACGAAAAAATTTATCCAATTTTTGAATTTTTTTCCTAGATATAAAATAAAGAAACGTCTTCTTAGAAGTATCAAACTATATTGAAAATTTGATTCTTCTTTAATCAAATAATTTATAAAATATTATTGATAATACTTGTAATTTTGATATTATTAAAAATAAAAAATGATTTTTTCATTCAAATTTATATGATCAATTATATTACAAGACAGTAAATGAATAACATGAGATATGTGAAATTATTCTGTTACTAAATTTTAATTAACATTTTTACAATATTTTAAAGCTAGAATAAATAAAAATCATATTGTAGTGAAATTCAAAACATAAATTTTGCTTAAGAGACCTTATAATCTTTTAATATGACCCTGATCATAGCTGAAAACTACATAGAATAATTATTTATTATTATTATTATTATTATTATTATTATTATTATTATTATTATTATTATTATTATTATCTCAATCAATAACTGAATACTACTTTGGCTTAAGTTATGATTGATTTGGATGAGTTCAAATTAAAAAAATAAAATAAAATTAGTATATCCTTTCAAGACGAATTCGAGTTGAAGTCATAGTATATGACATAGTGTTATATTACTTTAAAATAATAAGTCTTTTGAACAATTGTTTATTAGTAGTAATTTTTTATTCAATGAACATAGTATTATATTAATTATAATAGTTCAATTTTATACTTAAATAATTACTCATCAACTATATTTATTAAGAATAAAGATAAAGATGTATTATAATAGTAATAATAAACAAAATATATAGAATTAAAATATGTTTATATTTATGTGGATATGAATATAACGTTTCTTTGTTTATAAGTAGTATTTAAAGAATCCTTAATTGTCTACCAATCAACATCAACATTCATTGTTTGGTAGGCCTTTGAAGTGACCTACAGAATGCCCTAGAATGGATTATTAAAGCCTTCATTTGAAATATTTAAAAATAAGATCATTTAATTTTCAAAATTCTAGATTTAGAACCATGTTTAATGCGATAATTTAATCTTTCATTTACTAATAAGGCGTTAATACTTCATGATACTTACCGTTCTAAATTGGTTATTTTATGCTTTATAACTGTTGAAACTATGATTAAGAACATAAGAATAAACAAAACAAAGCTTAATTTCAGCAAATAAATTTATTTTAGTGAGTAAAAACGAGATTTCAAACGTTGAATAAAGTTAAACTGGTTCAAGTAAAATAATTTGTGAAATTAAACTCATTAAACTTCGAGTTATATATATAATGGACCCTGGTGGGGAGTTTTATATACGCAATCAATTATTAAGGTGCAAAGAAAATGTAAAGACGACAATTATTCAAAAAAAAAAAACAAAATTCTAAAGCACAAGTAAATACATGACTTCATTAATTTTCTTTCAATACATAATTTTTCTTTTTTACTTCAAACAAAAGAAAGAAGAAAAAAATAGGACACCTACACCATAATAAAGTAAAAGTATGCATAATGAAACACAAAAGATAAAGAAACCCCACAAGGCTTTGATATGATGAAATGAAAACAAAGCACACCACAATCATCTCCAACCGACCCAACAAAGAAGCCTTGTCTCAATCTCAGTGAGCACCACTCTCCTTTTCTTTCTCCTCCTCTGTCTTGGGGTGGTAACCAGGAAGCTTCTCCTTTATCTTCTCCAAGATACCTTTCTTCTCCTTCGCCTCTCCTTCGTGATGAACACCCTCACCATGTTCTGATGATGCAGCAGCATGTGCCGGAGGAGGAGGAGGAGGAGGTGTGGCCTCCTCTGTCTTCTTGTGCCCTGGTAGCTTCTCCTTAATCTTGTCCAGGAACCCCTTCTTTTCATCTAACTGTACTGTTTCGACAACCTCAACTTTCTCAACTGGAACACTTGTGTCCTCCTCCTTGTGATGACCACCCTCGATCTTCTTCTTTTCCTTTTTCTTTTTCTTCTTTTTCTCCCCATCTTCTCCTTCCTCCTCACTTGACTGCACATATAATGGCCATACATGTACACCAATCAAAACCACATTCGTATTTAATAAAACCCAGCTTGGATCAATACTTTTTGACGATCAAGAATGTCAATTTACATGTAGACAAACTTGTGTAAGTATTCATCAGAAATGTTTCATTAAATCTTGATCTCACAGGACAAAACCTCAACGCTGATTAAAGAACATCATCAACAACTTGTACATGAAAAAGTTGACAGACTTACATATTTTAAAATAAAAGTTTAAAACTCATATAAAAAGTTACGTATGTAAGTTGGTTTGAGGTTATTCCTTTGATCATCGAACAAGCTACACACACATACACGAATATATGTATATATTATCTGCATGCAAATAAAGGAGAAGAAAAAGAAAAACTCACAGAACTAGAGCTGCTATCAGATCGATGAAGCTTTTCTAAGAGGCTGTGTTTCTTCTCTCCTTCTTCTTCCTTCTTCTCCTCTGACACTGTCACCTTTTGAAACTCGGTGACGATCACCTCCTCCTGAGGCTTCTCCTCTTCCTTTTTCTTACCGAGAAAGTCAAAAACTCCACGATCCTGGACCTCGACCTCACTGCTCTGAGGGGTTTCATACTTGTTCTGGGTTTCCTCTGCCATGATCGGATGAGTAACTGATATGATGAGAATTTCAAACTCGAGAGAAGAGCGAAAGAAACTCTAAGCGTATGACTTAGCTGGCACTGCCAAAAGTAAAGTGATGAGTTTGTGAGTAGAGAGACGAACTGAAATGGATGATTTTAAGGTGCAAGAGTGGGACACCATTTATACTTGGCATCACGCGCACTACCCGCGATTAAGAAAATAAAAAGGTGCTAACCGACGTGTGGATTAAGTTAAAGAATAAATAGTTCACTCACGCTTTCCTTCACGCGCCTACATTTGCACTCGCTGCATTCACGCATCTGGATTTGGCTCCAAAACCAGCCCCGTGCATGCCTGTAATATACAAAAAAATTTCAATTAATTTTCATAAAATTATAAATGTCGATTGATTTAATTACTAATATTAATTTTATTGATAGCGTATGTTATATTTTATAATTATTGAAATACATTTTTCATATTTTTACTTTTCCTTATAATTTAAGAGATGGAATCTTATCTCACAGAAACAACAAAAGAAAGAAAGAAAAAATAAAATAAACATATCTCGAGAATCTTTCGTCATAATTTTTGTCAATGTTCACAAAAGAAAGAATAAGTTTATTTTATTATTTATAGACTAAAATAATAAAAATAAATAAAATATGTCACATAGAAAATAATTTATGGCCAAGACAAATCTTTGGTTACGTGCACCAAACAATTTGAAGAACAATTTTACAAAATATCAAATGAATTTCTATGGTACGTGAGACAGAAATAGTGAAAGAAAATTATTGAAAAAATAAATGACTTTCTTAACGTTTGTTCATCACTTTAAAAGATAAACGGTGGGTGTTTAAAAGTGTTTTTAAAGTGAAAACAACATGTAGAAATGGAAGTGTATAATTAATTAAGTGAATAATAGAAAGACGCGTGAAGGAGAGTGGGAGAGTGTGCGAGGATGGGAAAAAAGAGAGGAGAGGGAGACAGATTGAAATGGTGGATCTGTGATGTGATGACTGAGAGAGGGACACGTGGACGAATAACGTGGGGAGGTGTAATGACCCGAAAATGCCGACCTTGAAAGGATAAATTTGGAGAAGTCGGTGATTGTGTGGCAGTTGCGTCGGGAAAGAGAGTTGTGTACGGCACTCGCTGAGATGGCCACGTCGTTTTTATCCCCTCATCTCCTACTTGTCGTTTTTACTCTTCCTTCCTTTCACAACAATTCATAATTTTGAGTTGTACCTGTTTATTTATTTTTTATAATATTTGTATCTCATCAATATGGGCATTGTTAGACTAATCTCACCTTTACCCTTAATTGAAGTTCATTTTTTAGTAGCCTAATACTAAAATATAGAGTATTTTATGTTTGAGTTATGAAGATAAAATTATATTTTAAATATTTATATTTTGCCATTCTATCTATTATTTTTTTAATCTAATGTTAATCTTAGATAGTTTTCTATTTTTTACCACCCTTTTTTAAGTTTTCAATAGTTTTTTGGGTTTTATTTTTTATTGTTGGCCACGGACCAATTCATAAGCTTGCAAGTAAAGTGAATTGGACAGTGAGGACCAAAAGGCAATGGTTAAACACACCTTTTTACAGTTACTAAGCATGCCTAATTTTTTATGAAATTTACTTAAATATCCCCACCCCTTTTCTTCTCTTCTCTTTCCCCGCTTATACCCTCTTTATGTCCAACAATAATGCCTTAAAAACAGCTATACAAACTTAAAGAAGGAAAAATCAATGCATTGCATATATGAGAAATGGTATCAATTCCTATTAACAAGATTATGAGTAGAACAAAGCCACCTTCGCGTTGGTTGAGAGATTCCTTAAAATTTCAACACGACCATTAGAATTGTATTTACCCATCTATGAGGAGGGAATCTCCCCCCAATGAAACACATTTCTGGAGAAATACTGATCCATGTAAACTGGTCAGTTAATTGTTAATTTTTCTGAAAAATTGAATTATTTTTTTCTGTTTTCAAAACCTATTTCTAATATTTTTAGCAGATAATTGAATTTGTTCTTTTTTTAGACAACTCTAGTAGGGTTGTTAGGGGAAAGAAGACAAGGTAAAAATTGGAAACATCATGTGTAATTTCTTTTAAAATTGTCGATTTAAATAATCAATAAAAGGATTTACGTAAATGAGTCACAGTTATTTTGGAAGCAAAATTTTATTTTATACTGGTTTTGGTGGCAAGATTTGTGGACTGAAAAGCAGTAGTAATTTATTTGACTAGAACATTTTAAAAAAGAACTGTCAGGAATAATTGTTTAAAAATAAAATAAATATTTTATTATAAAAATTATTTAAAATTAGAAAAATATTTTTTAAAATTATTTATATAAAACTGCTTATATACAAAATCCTTAATAAAATATTTATCTTTATTTCTAATATAAAAACTCCCTTCGAAAATATACTTTACAAGTGACGTTGATTTTAGTTTTTAGAAAATATAAGAATAATATTCAATTTATATCCAATTAGTTAAATTAAACTAATTTAAATCAGAATGATTATGAATTTTAGTTTTTGAATAAACTTCAGTGGAGTTTGCCTCTTTGATCGATACAAAGGCTCTGTTTTGTTCTATGGTCCAAAAAAGAGTATTTTCCCATTTCCATGGACAGTCAAATGATACACAACTGAGGCACTATTGGCATGCAATGCATTGGTGAATTGAAAATCTAGATCACTGCCTATGTCTACGAGTACAAACAAAGAATTAAGTATCTACTGCTCTCATAAATAAGTCAAAATACTTTACAAAAGACCGTCCGAGTCAGAACAAGGACCAGAAGAGACAGAATCTACACTATATAATTACACAAACACGTCCTCCACTTCCAAAGGAAACTGCATGAGTACTCCAACCAAACAGACATGAAACATTTCCAAACTAGTCTCTTTCCATGAAAGTGAACTACTACAACTTACTACAACATAACTTTGTCTCCGTTGTTGTCTGGCCCCTACCCAGGATTAGAAAAGCAAGATCTCCAGTACATTCATTATAGATCTAACTCATTTTATGATGCTTTACATACTATCACACTATTACCTACGACGGCGTTTAGTATCCACCTGCATTACCAAGAAAAACAGAGATATTAATACATCAATCCTTCTTCTTTTTTCAGTAGAAATATTACATGAAAACTACACTCTCATGTAAATCCTTATAATGACCAATAGCAGTCAACTTCAACAATAACGGATTGATGTTATTCCATGGCAGTTCCTGAACCCACATATACCATGGCAGATTTCCACAAATGTGTAGCACAAATAAAATGATTAGGCATTCAAACTATACAAAATGAAGTCCTAAAATTCACATTAACCATAAAGAAACTTAAGTTGAACAAATCAGGATTAGAAAAATATACGAAATACCAAATATAAGTTAGTCACATCAACTTTGTTAATCATCAAAAGAAAATTTCATTAGCAATGGTACGGATTCTCATACTCAATATGTAACTCCCCACATGAAAAGGAACCAATTGATAATGCATCTGCCCATGAATCGCAGGATATTGAAGGTATAATCATTTTACCATGGAATAATAGAATCTAGTAAACGAATAGATAATAGACGAAGAAATCAACTTCTCCAAAGCCTGAATGAGTCAATTCAAATGGTATAAAGTTCTTGGAAGTGAAAACAGCTCACGTTGTCAAACAACAGTTATTTGAAATACCTTTGTATCTGAGTGTCTAGAAGCAGAATGAGAGTTCTGCAACTTTTTTTGACCTTCAGCGGAGCAGCTTTCACAAAAGAAGTGGTCAAGTCTTTTGGCTTCTTCTACAGTCATGTCTATGCAAGCAGGATGGAACCTGGAAAAAAGAAAATATTATGATGAAGACTGTATTCACTCGGCCTGACATCCACAAAATAATGGCACGTTTTGCAAAACAAGTTTTTTTTAAGCGTATAAATCCTCATTGAAAGAGGTATCGAAGTAAAAAATCTTCTATTCATCGTGATATATCAAACAAACTAATGGCTCAAGATAGATCTTAAAAGCCCCTTCTTAAAAATGGCTATCTTACTAAACCTTGCAAATTTTGTATGCCTCTCATAATAAGTAAAACATCTCAACATTAAAAAATGGCCATCTCAGCAGATAGCTCTATGATAAGAATGACGAGGATATGAAATTTGTAATGAATGAAAGTGATGTTCTCTTTCTTTAAGATTAGGGTTCCAGGATTTTAATTCAGTTGTTCCATTTTAAGGAACAACTTAAAATTATGCACATCATACAATTTTAAGAATACTAATTAGTCGATCATCACATCATACAATCTTAAGGCTATTGGTTAACTAGTTTGTGGATGTGGTACTGTTTGAATTAACAGTGGAATAATTATGCACATGAATTTTATCCTACATTCATTGTTCATAGGAAAAGAACATCACAAATTAGATTAAAATTAGCAGAATGTGAACTAGAAAGTTTAAAGAACAATGAATTATGAATGGAACACTTGAAAAAACATAGGTAACTTACGGAATGGTCAAGGAAGAAGGGTTCAAATCATATGATTTTTAAGCAAAATACACATTAGAAAATGGGGGAGAGATCGCATATTAGGCTTAAAAAAACTAACAATGTTGTTTCCCAGGTAAAAATGGGCTTTTGAGGCCTATATCATGGTTTAGCATATGAACAAGGTTGTCAAACTCTCCAGTTTATGATCCTAGATAGAAAATGCACATATCTCATTAATAGCTTTTTTAATATTATATTTTATATGGGTATTACTCATATGAGTTGAATCTACGAGCAGAGTCTACAAAAATTCAGGGAGTGACACTGAAGTTTGACAGCCTAGACCATGAATAGCCACTGCTTTTGCAACTATTTAAGTTCCAATTAGGACCAGTCTGCTACTATGCTATAGCACGCTTTGACTACTATGGTTTAAGCATGTTTTATCACCTTAGACAAATATTTATGGAACCTCAAATTTATGCTATGAATTCGGCACATTAAATCAAGTGCCATTGCAAGCTTAAATGCAAGAGAGTGGAAGCATTAATGTACAATAATGAATCCAAGTACATGATTTTTTTTCATGAATTTTGTTATAATATTTTAAAACAAGATATGAAGTTCCTGAGACAAAGTAGCTTTGATTATCTATATTATAGTAGATAACCATAATAAGGAAAGAAATAAGAAATTAATGAAACACCTTATCAGTGACAGATACATGGTTTGCCAAATTAAGAAAGTTGAATAACACGATCAGCACCTAAAAGAATTGCTTGCATTAGGTTCCATCTCCATCTAACTTATAAGGCCATGAACAATTACAAGTAAATGTAATTAAAAGAAACTTAGTTCTCTTAAGTTACAACCATATGTCCACAACCCGCACAAAAACGAGTCGCATAACACTTACTTGCATGCAACAATCCATGAGAAAGATATAAGCAAAGTGCGGGGAGCTCCATGAACTCATGTGTGTTTACTTCATATAATAAGAAAAATATTAATCACCTATAAATAACATAATAACTCAACGTTTCAATCCTATCATAAAATAGCTAAATCTTTAGTACATTACTACTAAATAAGTTCAAACAACACCAAATAAAACATGACATAAATCCACACAAAATTATGCTTTATGTATCTTTTATATTTTATCTTATTGTTCTATAGTTTTATTATAGTATTATACATTTATCACACTTTATTTTTTAACACTAGTATTATTATTATTATTATTATTATTATCTAGTTTATTATATTTTGTTTTACAAAAAAAAAAAAGGTTATTGGACTTCAAAACAGACAAGAGTTAAAGAAACATAGAAACCCTAAATATGACCTGACTAATCAGCTGCTATTAACTAGAGCGGCCCGAACATACAAGAGAATGTAGAGTAGTGGGAGGTCATGGAGGTTGTCGATGATGGTGAACATGCAGTGCAATGGGCGGCTCCAGTGAACATGCAGTATCATGCTCTGCAATGGCAAAGGTCGCAGAGCCAGCAAATCATTGCAAATGTCACCACGACATCCATGTGCTCGGCGACTAGTGCCTTACCAGTGGCAAGGGGCCATTGTTTCTCCAACTTACAATTGATAATTACTATTTCACTGGACAATTGAGCTCACGTGAATTCACTCCACTAACTCGTGAGTTTGGCTTAATTCATGTGAGTCTACGCCAATCCAACCAAGTTACCTGGAAATTGATTTTGCATTCGAGTTAACTCGAAGCTTGATTGTTGGAGGATAAACTCGTGCAGTTTTACGGTTAAATTACGAGTTTGATAACTTTGAATATAATTATATGCATAAACAGGTACTGTATAAGCAGAACTCAGAAGGGTTGGGGAGAAGTTATCGGCTACCTAGTCAGAAGCAAGAATAGAATAACCAGCACACCAAATCAATATGATATAACACCGATTGTTTATCGAAAAAAATACTCCCAAGTGAAGAGTCATAGGCAAGGAAAAATTATGCCTGCATAGTTAGTGTTGACTTAAAATACTTGTTTTCTTCAAATGAAACCAGCAAAAGAAGAGAAAAGATAAAATATGAATATAAACTGAATTTTCCATCAGAACGATGCAATATATTTAAAGAACTGAACATACCAGTTTCCACAAAATCACAAAGACACCTAAACATTAAACAGAATAACAGAGCTGAAGCCCAATAAATTTAAAGATAAAATCACTTTACATATTCGACTTACCAGTCGCTGCAGCCCTCGCATTGGACCATTAGGTCGTCAGGGTTGTAAGGCATCTCACATTTACAATACCTGCAATGAAAATTTAAAACAACCTCCATCACACGACTCAGCAGAATCCTACAGCTTCTCGATTCTAACAAAAAGTTGCTACTTACCATTTTCCAACTGAAAAAATAAACAAAAATCCTAAACTACGTATATTTTAGAATAATCACAGTAATCTGAGCCATTACCAGATTAACCAACAGAAACCTGGAATGATCATCAACCAATACACACTGAAAATTAATTGCTAAAATTTAATGGCAGCTGAATAAAAGAAAGAGAGAAATTCCATTCATTCCAACACGAAATTCTACCAAAAACAAATATATTTCGAATTTAGCGCAGCAGAGACTATAATAGAAAATATATCGGAGTATCTCGGAGAAGTGACGGACTCACACGGCAACTCTATCAGGATTGAAGGCGCCAGTGGAGGAATTGTACTCGAACCGACAGAAGAAATCGTCGTTGCCAACAGCATCCAGTTTCGTGTAGCTCTTGAAGCTGTGGACAGTACACTTGCCTTCGATTGTGTCGGCGCTCTGAACATCGAAGTGATCGGAGAGAAAAACCTCCTTCGAGCCATGAAACTGGCGGCGACCGCCGATTGACTCCTCCGGCCGGTAGTACCACCGCACGTTAATCTTCACGTTCGCCCCGCGCGCGTCGGCCTCGATCCGCTCGATCCTGGCAACATAAGACGGTTTCGCCGGATCCGATGGCCGCATGAGCACGCAATCGCCAGCTGAGAGACAACAACAAAACGCACGTTTGGATTTGTGACAGCAAAAGCAGCTAACACACAACAGAATTCGTATAATTTATTCGAAGACAATTCCGTCAAAGCTATTTCCTGAGAATAGAGTGAGTTTACCTCTAATGGTTTTGCTTATGTGTTTGACTGAGTATGACTCTAGGGTTCGCCTTGGAGCCTTCGGTTTAGCCATGGAATGGAAGCACACACGAGCAGAAGGCCGAGGATGAAAAAAAATACAGAAAAAAAATATTAAAGCCTTTTTTTTTACATGTTACAACTGGTCATTAACTTTTTTGTTTCAGTGCTTCGCTGAACAAGGGGAAACGGTGGGGTAACGTTTATCTCAACGTTCATTGACCTGCGCGTACACCGTACACAGAAGTATGGACCAGAAACTTTGGTATTTATTTTTTAATTCGAAATTATGTAAGAAAACGAAAAGTTGATTGATGGTAAAACGGTAGGATATGGAACTTGGTGATACCTCCACGTGGAATTCAGTTAGAGTGCAGCCCTTGTAATGTAATAAATGTTTCGTTTCGGGCACGGACATTAGACAATATCTTAGCGTGTGATCAGTTTTGCCTTTACATGTCAAGTGCTAATTGCCAATTTTTTTTGTGGGTTTAAACATGGCCTTGCTCAAGCAAAATTATTAATCTTCATTTTTTTTCATACATAAAATTAGGCAAAAAAATAATAGAACTCGTAAATAATGTGACAAGTCATTCAATGCCTTCATCCCATCCCGAAGTTTGGATAATTAACTACTTTACCTTTTTATTAAAACATGTTTATCTCTACATTCAAGTTATATTAGATCGTGTTTGTGCATTGATTGAAGTATTAGAGGAGAGAGTACGCAAATCAACTTTAACTTTGATGATATTATAGTCTAATATAACATATCACTATTACACTTGGTATTCATTACTTACTTCTTTTTTTAAACTATTTTTTTTCTTATTTATCTGTTTTTTTTTTTATCAATAGGAATTTTTCTTAATTTTTTTTTTAATTCTGTCTGTAGAGTAGATAAAAATAATGTAATTTTGATATATTATAATGAAACAACGTAACATTATTTTGATATAACTTTCTGTTTATAAATATATATTTTTTTATCAGAAAAATGTTAACATTTTTTCTTGACTGAAAATGTTAAAACTTATTATTTAGTAATTTATTTCAGTTATTACAATATTCTTAATGATAAATGAAATTATTATACTTATTTAAAAAATTTTATGTTATTTAATAATTTTATTAATTTTAATATTTTTTATATTATAAAATTTGTGATTTTTTTTTACGTAGTTATAATTTAAATTATAAATAAAAGTTGTGAAAAAAATAATAATTAGGTAACATGATCAAATCAAAATAAATAGATTATGTAATAATAATTAATTAATGCGTCACATGGGTGAACAGGATCAGTTGGATTTTTTACATTTATAAATTATGTTACATATATTTTTTTGTTAAGTCATCCATTTATTTGAATTTGAGTTGTTTATATTCATAAAAAAAATATGAACTAAATGATTCATATATGAACAATGATGAAGTAATTTATTTTAAGAAAAATAATAATATAATTTGATAAAAAGTTAAAAATTGATGTGATTCTCCTGTTTAAAGAAAGGCTGAGATCTCTTTGAGAACTCAAGTATTGATTATGTGACATGAAAAGAACTTGAAATAAAAAATGTATATATTTTTTTAAAATAATAGCTCATTAAACTATTAGTATTTAACTTTTATTATTTATAATACTTTAATTATTAAAATACATTCTTACTAATATTATATTTATTTATAATAATAATAAGATAAAACAAAAGTAAGAAATGGAATGTTCAAGAAAAATAAATATTGATGACCACCAGATACATTTAACGAGGATACACACCATGTCAAATTAGTAGTTCATGCTACTGTTTGAGTCAATTATCCCAAATATTTGATTAAAAAATATCAAAATTAAAATTTTAGGATTTAGCTTAGATATTTTTATTTTAAAACTGATAAATATTATAAAATCAATTATTAAATAAAAATATTATAAAAATAGAATATATAATTAATTATAATATTTATAGATTTAATTTATTTTAATATTTTTTTTATTTTTAATTTAAATAATAATAATATATTTTTTAAATTATAAAAAAAAATATTCATTTAATATTATTATTTTAATAATATATATTTAATTTTAATATGATTCTATCTGAATTAATTTTTGATTATAAACTGATAAAAAAACAATTTTAATTATATTTTTTTTATCAATTTTAGTTTAGAATTAGTTATATTTCCAACGTGGAACCAATGGAAAAATGATTTTTTTTTCATTTTTTAATAAATATTTATTCAGCAATTTTTTTTAATAATATAATATTAATTTAAAATTATTGTTATTTTATAAACTCTTCTTCTGAATATAATAAGATTATATTGAATGAATGTTTTTTTTACTACAAATTGTGGAAATATCAAGTATCTATCTAAATATAGATGGAGAAATGCAGCTAGCTTAGTATATTGATTCTATATTGTCTACTGAAAATTTTCCATTATGAGATAGAGTACATATATTTTCGTCTATTCTTGTTCATCCACACCATCTCATTTGGTAATTTTCTCATACATGTGTCTACTAATTATGTTATAAAATTAAATTCCAAAATGTATAAAAAGTGTTTTCAAAATATATTTTAGAATGTTCTCTTTATAATCCGAATATACTCTTATATACATTTTATTTTATTTTTAAATTATTTTTAAAACACTCTTTTAATTTAATGTTTTGATTTTTTTTTCAGAATATTAAAAAATTGGTCTGGCTAGTACATAAAAAAAAAACAGTATGCCAAAAGATATAGTCTACAATATAAAAAAAAAAGTGTTATAGAAGATAGTTTTTGAAACACTCATAATATTTTCGAACATAAAAGTAAAAAAAATATACTTTTTAAAACACTCTCATAACTTTCAAATAATGAAATTAATATATTTTTTTAATATCTCAGAAATTAATTTATGGAGTACAAAAAAAAGGTAATATATGTAATTTAAAATAAATAAAAGAGGAGTACATTTAATAAAAAAGGGGAGTGTGAATAATAAAAGCCTTTATTATTATCTGAACCAGAAAAAGAATGACAGTGCATAGGCCCGCAGTGCAAGCCTTTTTTCTTCCCTGATTTTGCAAAAGAACCCAGAAAAAAATGACAGCCCATGCATAGGCCCGTAGTGCAAAAAGTTATGAAAGAAGAAATTAGGGTTTATAATCAAGAAAACAAGACACGGGGATAACAGTGTGGAAGTATTCGCAGAGCTTTGTGTCGCAGCCTCCATTGCCTCCTCTTCCACTTTGTAACCATGGTAGGCTCTCTCAGGTTATTCATTGTCAATTATTTTCACCATTCCGTTTAAATTTCACTCTTATGAAAAGATTGACGTTCGTTTTTTATCTGTTCAGATCATTCCGGAGAAGAACCGAAAGGAGATCTGCAAATACCTCTTCCAAGGTAGTTGTCTCAGGGTTTGTAACGAAAAATCTTGGTTCGTTAGGGTTTAATCTAGCTGAATAATCCGAGATTGTTTATGGTGCAGAGGGAGTTTGCTATGCGAAGAAGGACTTTAATTTGGCAAAGCACCCTGAGATTGACGTGCCTAATCTGCAGGTGATTAAGCTGATGCAAAGCTTCAAGTCTCGCGAGTACGTGAGGGAGACCTTTGCTTGGATGCATTATTACTGGTTCCTCACTAACGATGGCATCGAGTTTCTGAGAACTTACCTTAATCTTCCTTCCGAAATTGTTCCTGCAACTTTGAAGAAACAGGCCAAGCCACCTGGCAGGCCCTTTGGTGGCCCATCTGGTGATCGCCCTAGGTATGTCAAGAAAATCACTTTGTAATTGATTGAATAATGTCATAGTCCAAAGCAATAATGTCATCGTACTATGTGAAGTGAGACCTTACCTAACTGAATACTGGGGATGCAGCAGTGATTTGGATATAACCTACACACTAATCCATCTGAGCTTAAATATATTGTTTCTACTAAATTGTTGTCATGTGGCTGATTTGCGTTGCTTTGAACAGGGGTCCACCTCGCTTTGAAGGCGAGCGAAGGTTTGGTGGTGATCGCGATGGATATCGTGGAGGTCCCCGAGGACCTGGTGGAGAATTTGGAGGAGACAAGGGAGGAGCCCCAGCTGATTACAGGCCCTCTTTTGGGGTAATCCTATTGCTACTGCACTTCTGTCGTTGTTTATTGTTGTCGGTTGTCATTTGCTTTTGGTCTAGCTTTCATCGCTATGATTGTTGTTTATTGTGTTAGTTTTAAATTAATAGAACTTTTAATTTAGATAAGTATTAGTTTTCAATGTTTACTCAAACTGATTGAGTGTATTTGTTTTTAGTTTCCCATGATTTGCACATTTTAGTTGTATATAATATGAAACCAAGCTTTTTTTTGGTAACCCATCTCTACGATGTACATTTGCAATATTTTCTCAGTTAAGCGATTCAAACAAGCTATTTCCTTCATTAACTTTCTGCAAATGCCTTTTCAAAAGTCTGATGTTTAGTAAATCAATAGTCTCATGTGATTGACCTAGCTTACCAGAAGGTTTTGTTGTTGATGTTATGGTAGCAGTGTCCATGCCAGTGTAGTTTCTCTAATGTTCGTCGTGCTTGCATGAGTTTGGGACATTTCTTTCTGCGCAGCAAGCAGTATAGAACAATTTTTAGTTTCTTTTCTTTCCATTGTTTTCCCCTCTCTTATCAATTGGTTTGCCATATTTTCAGGGACCTGGCGGAAGGCCTGGCTTTGGTCGTGGATCTGGATCTGGATCTGGTGGTTTTGGAGCGCCAACCAGCTCAAATCTTCCTTAAGATAATGTTTTCTGCTTTATTTTTTGTTTAGTTTTCTAGAAAAAATGTGTCTGAACTTGGTGTCAATGATAGATTTCCCTCACTTATAGATTATTGTTTTATGGCTTGACACATACTTTTAGTGATTTTGAATTGATAAGTTTTTCTTTGAGTGGGGATTTTTAATCTAGTATTTCTGCTAATATGTGGCCCACAGATTCTCAAAATTCTATCTTCTCTTCATCCCCATTTTTGTTCTGTCTAGTTTCAAACTCCAAATGCTTGCAGTTCTCCCAAATTAGGGAAGGTTTGGTCAAACTATACAAGTTCTGTGCATTGTAACGGATATTATATAATTTTTATGATTATTTTTATCTATCATACAAAATTGAAGTTATTATATCATATATATTATAGGATTATCTCAATCTAATTTTATAGCCTTTTTAACTATTGAATATATTTAAATTTTCTATCTGTCAATTTATAAACTTAAATAATATTTATGTATTTAATGTTTTTAAGGCTTAAAATTATGACATGTATTAAAACTAAGAGATAAGAAATTTTAAAGAATGTAAAAGTTAATGGATTTAAAATCAACATGTAAATTAAAAAAATTAATAATTTTCTTTGAAGAAGCAAAGAAAACCGTAAAATAAGAGATGAGAGGAGCAAATTAGATTTAATCATAAAAAGGTAGCGAAGAAAAGAAAGAATTTAAATTAATTTAAATTAGTAGATAAATCAGTAAGATGTGGTATTTTACCGGTAAAATATAGTAGAATTACGAAATTAAACATGATAGAATGAAGCGAATGGAGTTCTCACAGGCTACATAACTTTTTAGTATACAAATCTAAATGATGTTGAGATTAAGGTTTATGTGTCATTACAATGTTAATCATTGAGAAAATACAGCAAAAAAAAAAAAAAATTAGATAGCGTATTTTATAAGGCAAAATATAAACGTTATGAGGTAATTTTTGGAGTCCAATGTAAATATTAGTTAGGACCCCTGAAAGGAATTATGATACTTAGTGTATGTATCTTACTTTTTGAATGTATAGGTGAAAGTAAAATAAAAAAACAAATTAAGAAAAACTGAAGAGCCTTTTTATGAACATTCTAATATAATTTACTAATTTTGGTAATGATGTGACAAAATCAATTTAATTGTATTTTAGTAAAATGTTTCAAAATCTCGAGTTTTTATATATATATTAGTTGCATCAGTTTTTACCTATCAGTCCAATAAGACTTCGAGAGCGTCAAATACCAATTATATTACTTAAATATAAACTTTCATTTTTTTTAATTATCATTCACCCTGGAATCAATAATTTATTCTAATTTAAATTTGTGCTTTATGAATAAAAAACATAATTAGAATACACTACTAATTAAATGATTGTCGGTGTTGGAGATTAATAATAAACAAATTGATGACATAAGATTTATTATTAAATTAACAAAAGTTACATTTTTGAAATAAATTAAGAAATGAACTGTAAAGTGTGTAATTATGTTAGATGAAATAAATTAAATGGGTTGTACTAAACTCTTGAAAACTACAATCCTAAATTTAAGGTATGTTTTATCTCAGTGTAGAATATGATAACATCGTATCAGTACTGCGATTCTTATCCTGCAGCAGAGCCAATGATTTTTATATACACATGAGGATACATTTTATAAAAAAATAAAAATAAAAAATAAAAACATAGATACATTTTTATTAAAGAATCAATCAAATATTACTTATTTTTATTATTTTATAATAATTATTATTGATTCAAATTCTTTAAAAATACTATTTGATATTCTGTTATAATATTTTATATTAATTATTATTTTATGGGTTAACAATTATTATATCTTAACTCATTATTATATTTTGAATATTATATAAAGGAATCTAATTAGAGAATAAACATCACCTCATAATTCATTTTCATATATATTAAAGTGATTTTTACAGGTGAACTTTTGCGTTTTCTTGAAGGAAGAAGTTTCAAGTGGAGACTTGGAGATTGGTCAACCGACTTTATCTTCTTGTCTTGCCGATCATCTTCAGCTCGATAAGAACATTTGACACCCACTATGGGGCCTGATAAAACGTTCTCCCACGATCTCTCCCATCTTATGGTTATAACCCATAACCAGACGGTGTCCAACCCCAACAACATGGATCCCTCAGTCGTCATTGACAGTCTTAAGAAGCACATGGATGAATGTCAATAGAGATCCAATATAAGGCAGCGGAAGAATTAGAAGCAGTTCGGAGTCAACATCAAACAATTTAACAGAAGGCGACCGATGAACTGCAATTGATTAAGAAACAACACCAGACCGAGTTTTAGACACTGCGTAAAGAAATGAAATTGATATTAACTATGTCCACTTAACTCAAAAATTGTGATCCTACTTCAAGGGATTTCCCATCACAGTAAAAACCAATTACTCAATCAAGCAAATCCTACAACAACCTGATCTTGTTGAATGCATGACAAAATGGTTTGTAGAATTGTCCGAGTTCGGACTTATTTATGAAAGTACAAGATTGATGAAAGTTCAGTTTCTTGCTAACTTTTTGGCCGAATTGCCAATAATAGGTGAGCAACATGACTGATGGACTCTCAGTATAGGCAGAACTTCCAACAAAAAAGAAAGTGGAGCAAGAATAATCCTTGAGGGATCTAATGATGTAATCATTGAGCAAACAGTAAGATTCGAATTTGAAACTTTGAATAATCAAGTCGAATACGAAGTATTACTAGTTAGGTTATCTCTAGCCAAAGAGATGAGAGTCAAACAACTCGAATGCAGAAGTGGTTCTTAACTTGTGACTTGATAAATAAATGAGGAATATCAGGCCAATGAACCTCTCCTATAGAAATACCACCATATTGTCAAAAATGTCATAAAATATTTGATAATTTCGTAATACAACATGTACCTCGGGAGCAAAACGATAGAGTAGACATCTTATCCAAATTGACTAGCACCAAAAGACTAGGACAACATAGAACTCTCCTTTTAGAAACATTATCCTAAGTTGGGATAAAAGGAAAAATTTCCAAGTCAGCATCGAGCCAACCACATAGATGACACTTATAAATAAGTACATATAACATGATATATTACCACATAATCCCGACGAAGCAAAGAAAATAAGAAGAATAGCCTTTTTATATAATATATACAATGACAACCTATACAAAAGGGGTATATCAACTCCTCTTCTGAAATGCCTAGATGATGATCAAACTCGCTATGTCATAGCCGAGCTTCATGAAGGAATTTGTGGCCTTCACTCAAGTGCAAAAAACATGACAGTACGAATAATTCGAGTTAGGTATTATTGGCCCACAATAAGACAAGACATCAAAAACTTTGTAAAGAAGTACAAACAATGTCAACAATTCAATCCAATATTCTCTTTACCTCCAGAAGAATTGTACAACATAGTCACCCCATAGGCCATTCGGGGAATGGACATAATCGACCCCTTCCCAATTGCTCAAGCACAGATGAAATTTCTCATAATAGCCATAAACTACTTTACCAAATGGATCAAAGCAGAACCTCTGGCCACCATAACAACGTAACAAGTACAAAAATTATTATGGAAAAATATCATTTGTTGACATGGTCTTCCATAAGCACTTATCACCGATAACGAAAGATAGTTTGTAAATAAAAACTTAGAGCGATTCTTCAACCAGTTCGACATACAACACAAAATATCATCTGTGTAACACCCTCAATCCAACAGAAGGGTTGAGACTACTAATAAGGTCATTCTCAGAGAATTAAAGAAAAAGTTAGGTAATGTCAAAGGATTATAAGCTAAGGAAATACTAGATATATTATGGGGATATCATTGTACACCTCAGTCCTCAATAGGGAAAATTCCATTTAAGCTAACATATGGAATCGACGCCATGATCCCTCTGGAGTTAGGGGAAAAATTCATGGCAATGACAACAATTTAACGAACAAAAGAACAAAGTCAATTTATGTATTGAGTTGGCCTTGATTGAACATTTAAGGGCTTCAACTTGAAAGTGATCCTAGCAAAGATCTCATTGATTTGATGAAGTCAAAGATAAAGTCAAGGGTCAACTCTGCAGCAGTCAAACAAGTCACTCAGAAGAATGGAGCTGAAGACTTAGTGTGTCTTAACAGAAAGCTTAGGTAAAACCACTTTACCTTTTCCACTGCATGAAGCTCCTTCATTCATTTTGCAAAATGCCTCAAAAATAGTTTTAAACAAATCAAAAACAAAAGCATTTTGGCAAAGAATTTTCTTAAACAAGTTATTAACTGATAAAGGTTTGAAAGAATCAATTTAAAACACTTAGAATGTTTTAAAAAGTGTTTTTACAATATTTTAATCGATACAAACTTCTTTTAATCGATTAAAACTCTTTATGACCGATTAGAATTCGAATATAATAGGTCAGAATGCATTATAATCGATCAGATCTTAAATATGAGCGATCAGAACTATTTTAATCGATTAAAACACGTTTCAATCGATTAAAATTACTTTGGATGTCAGGATGATCGATCAGAATGAGATTATGACCGATCAGAGTTGGATATGATCGATCAGAATTGAATTATGACCGATCAGATCTATTTCAATCGATTAAAACGTATTTCAATCGATTAAAATAACTTAGAAAATCTTTTCAATCGATTAAAACGAACTTTCAATCGATTAAAATGACTTGAAAATATATGTGCAGTTTTTCAATCGATTGAAACGACTTTATATCAGTTAAAATAACTTGGAAAGTTTTATAAGAAGGTTTTTAAACAAATCAATCGATTAATACGTGATTCAATCGATTGTTTTATACTTAGAAAATGTTTGTAAAACGTTTTAACTGATAAAAACGTGGTCAGTATCAACTAAAACATTTTCTCGTTAAAGATCAAGAACGCATTAATGGGTTGAAAGGACTTTTAACAGATTGTAACTGCTATTTCAACAGATTAAAACAAACTTT